AGGTGCAAAAGATATTGTGAAAGGGAAAGAAACTGCTCATTACACACACAAACAAGATAGCTAATTGTACTGCTAATCTCTATTGGTTTATTGACAGGAACAGTTAATGCCTAACTGCTGGATCAATTTTTCATGCCTATACTGGTAATCTGAACAATTACTTTGAGGGTAACAATATGCAATATAACAATTACTGTTAAATTTTCTATCATCTTGTTTTGAAATTCTCTATTGTCTTTATTCTCTTTAAAATATATGTATGTATGTATATACAAAGGGTTAGGGTGTAGCTCAGTGATACAGCATCTGTCTAGTATGCTCAAGGCCCTGGATTGCATCCCTAGGATCACAAAAACAAACGAATAAAATAAGAAAGAGAAGAAGTGAAATCTATCAATAAGAAAACCAACATTCAGAAATACAGCACAATAGTACGAAAGTTGCATTATTTCCTTTAAGAAGTTTAGCCAGAAAGAAGAAAGGTTTTTTTCCCGCTTTTTGACAAATGCAGGTTTCAGCTGACTGAAGTTCAGGTTAAAAAAATGTCTGAGTACAAAGTTAGAAATGAGGAATTTATAATATTCCTTGAAAACAAAAGAGTAACTTTAATTCTCATTCTGATTTTACTCCTGTACAAACATGGTAAAATAAGGTTTATGTTCCAAAAATGATCTAGTTGATAAAGAAACTGAAAAAAATTTTCATAGTAAATTACTTTATCTTCATCAGCAACAGCAGCCTTACTAATAGTACCATCCATAACTATCTGAAGAGAACAAACAAGTCTACATTTAGCCCAACTATATTAAGATAATAATAATTATCTTTTATTAGAAAATAGCAATATACTAACTATTAGTTTCAGTTAAAAATCAAGTAGGCATCTGAATTACACTTACCTGAATTGCTTTGCCAAATCATGAAAATCAAAAGAGTTTGGGTATTAAGAAATAGAAGGCAACCAAAACAGTGTAAATGATACAGATGGCTTGGAAATGACTAAAACAGCCAGCGGCTGCACTGTCTTACACTGTGCTGGGTAGTACTTACTACACACCGTACAAAGTGAAATTAAAAAAACTTACCTAAGATGCCAAAACAGAAACTGCCCTATCCTCCGGTTAGCAAGTGCTCTTTCTAATAGAAATCTAGAAAGTGCACAGTCAAGAAAAGGTTCATATTTTAAAACTTGGACCAGCTGTAAAAGATACTGTGAGAGCTCTTCATCACTGAAAGAAACAAAAGACAGAGGAACTCAACTACTTGTGCTGGGAAAAAAAACAATCCCTCCCTACCAAACTACTGAATGATAGTTCATTGAAACACATGGTCTTCGAGGCCAGCTCACTCTATGCTTGTGTTCACCGTGCCACTGTTACAACATCAAGATGGAACCTGAGATTTCAGACGGAACAAAGGGGAGTGGACAGAATGAAAGAACAGATACCTGGGACACTTTTCTCAAATGACTTAGACTGTTACAACTGACAGTTATATTTATAATCAGGTAAGAGGTACCAAAACTTTGCTGCCTTAATATTTCTAATTATGATAACTCTTAGGTCTTAAGTCAAGCAATCATTTTTAAAACAAAAATTTCACCAGTAAAGTACACTAGCAATACATCTTTCTTTGCAACTGTTAGGATTAAGTAATTCCTTCTTCCACATCAGTGAATAATTAAACCTTACCTTCAAACTGTCTGGATGATAAAATGAATGCATCTGTAAATGGGCATTATACTGACTCACTGAATTAATATGAGAACCTTGTGACTAATGGGCTGGACTAATTCAGGTTAGTGGTTCTCTTATTTTGTGTCCTACTCCCAAACCATCCACTACAAACGCACACCCATCAGAGGTAATTCTTTCAGCAATAAAGATACAAATCCTTTGCTTGCTGTCTACACTCTTGGACAACAAATGGCTAAGGCCATAGGCCAGAGCACAACTAGGACTTAAACCGGAGTATTAAATGGCAAAAACGAAAGTCACAGCTGTAAAATTTAACAGAGGCAGTGCCATCAGAATCAGCTCTATGAGGAGCATGGGACTCGGGGCACTTAAGGAAAACCTGTGGCCGGGCCCAGGGGACAGGGTAGCTTCTCCCCATCAGGCCTCAGCGCAAACTTACGGAGACGGCAGCGTCGTCACTCTTTAACTTCCTAAACCACCATCTTAGGTGGTTTTATTGTAAAATTTACACTCATTATAAAAGCTCATTTACACACATTATAAAATTTACACTCGTTGTAAATAGCAGAAAACCAGAACTTAAACATGTAAGAAGAAAAATGTTTTCTCACACATCTAATTTTACTCCTCAGAAATAACTACTAGTGTAATTTCTTTTGGATATCATCTGATTATAAAAAGAACAGAAAGGGATCATAGCACCCACAGTGTTCTGAAGCTTTTGTTTTTCAGATAACTACGTAATACATAATCTTTTTATTTGAAACCAGAAAAAATACGTTTAAACCTGAAAATATGTATGTGCCAGGCACAGTGTGAAATACCTACAGTCCCAGCTCCTCAGGAGACTGAGACAGAAGTGTCTGAGCCCAGGAGTCTCAGTGTCAGCTTGGGAAGTGCAGTAAGACCTCTCACTGCTTCCAGGAAGGGACAGAAGTAGCACTACAGATGACTATGAGGACTTCAATTCTAACTATAATGTATCTGCTTAAAAATATATTTTTAAAAAACTACCACAACAAAATATTAACATTTCTTACTTTGAGGAGCAGACTATGTGTGGAGAACAGAGTTAACAAAGCAGGCTTAGCTGCTACTGTTTGAAAAGCCTATTTAAAGGGTTGGCCTGTGTCTGGCCTACGGGAGCTAAGATTTCAAAAGAGCTTCTACCACCCTAGTGGTAAGAATGGCTCACTGCACCTAAACTGTACAAATGGTATAAGGTTTTATGCTGCACACTCAGGTTCCTGCCGGGAGTCTCGAAATTTGGCACATGTTAGACAGAGGGTACTTATGTGACGAGTACCCAGCAAAAAGTCCTGGCGCCCAAGTCTCACACAGCTCCCCTTGGCCTTTTCTTCCTTATGAGACATTCAAGGAAACAACTCCTTTTCTCTCAGCCCCAGTTATCCCTTGCCCCAGAGAAAGCCACCTGCAGTAGATACCTCATCTGACGCAAGCAGTCCACAGCGTATTCCCGCACGTACTGGTCTGGATAGTTGAAATCAAGAAGCTCCAGGGCTTCCCTTGGGGGCAGTTTAGGCCAAATCTGAAGCAGTGCCTGAAGCTGTTTAAATTGAAACTGGTTCAGAAACGATGGAGGACAAAAGCAATCTATTTTTCCTTGTCAGAGAGGAATACAGATAAAGGCTCAAAGAAAGGAAAAACACTGTAATCCCAGCACTCAGGAGGCTGAGGCAGGAAGATGGTTGTGAGTTCAAAGCCAGCCTGGGCTACAAAGTGAGCTTAAGGCCAGCCTGAACTGCATAGCAAGACCCTGTCTCAAAAAGAACAAAACAAAACAGAAAGGAAAAACATACTTTCAATTATTTATTGATTCCTAAAAATTTAATTCCAGTTACTATGGGCTAAGAAGTAATTACTTTTGTTGTTGGAATATTCTATAGGTAAATAAAACCAGCTATTACATACTTCTATGAAATAGAGTAGGACACTAAGAATATGGGTTCTAGAATTATTAGCTATTATATACAGTATCACAAATATTTTTTAAAATGATCAAGAAACACTTAAGGGTAAAATTCACAGAATAAATATAAGCTGCAAGCCCCAAGCTAGTGAGAGGCAATTAACATTTAAGAAGTTCACCAATGACATAAAACTAGAGTTTTTTTAGCTGTTAATTTTTAATTTTTATTTATTTATTTGGTCTTTTCCTTTGGTACCAGGAATCTAACTCATGACTTTGCGCTTGCCAGGCAGGCGCTTTGCCGCTGAGCTAAATCTCCAGCCTCGTTAGCTGTTAGATTTTTTAGGAGTATCACTTTACAGAACTCTACATTGTTCATAATGTTTAAGTTCCTCATAGTAAATATAAGGAACCCATAAGAAATAGTGCCCTTTATTTTACGTATAGCCAGCCCGCTACTCACAGGTGATAACTAGCAGTGATGTGGACATAGGACAGTGGAGAACCCTGCAGCATGGGCTGTAATTCTAAGTGAAAGTGGATCAGTACAACGTGGCCACATCTTTGGAAATCCTGTTCTGGGGCACCCAAATCTTCTAGAGAGGATCGTCACTGCCTGCCATCAGAGCACTGTGGAACTCATGAGGTCATTTCTGACAGAAGTCCCTTCTCCCTTGTGGTTTTGATGTTTGCATCATGTGCTCTTCTAGGGTATAACTGGAAGAAAACTGGTGATGGGGGAAAGAAGGAAAATGTCTGATTTGTGGGCCTCCCAAAGCTCAACCCTACCTGATAAAACCTTATTTCGTAGTGGTTAGTTTCTCTCACTGGATTTTCGTAAGTGTCCCATTAAGTGCCTCTGACATCAACTTCATGGATGATACACAAATGTATGCAAGACCAACACTACAAAACTACGGCAACTAGACTGTGGTGACTAAGAGAACTCTGTACCAACTGACTGCTTCATTTCTCAGTCACATTGTGAGAGGCAGCCCCTGTGAATGCTTTCTGTCTGCCTAGGAGATGTATGTCTGTACTTTCTCTTCAGTTACTGGGCTGTAAAAATTAAATAAAAACACTTAGTATTTTATTTCATTCTACAAGTTAACTAACCCATTGTTAATTATCTTGAGTTATCGCCTAAAAAATCAATAATAACTAACTGAAATTCCAGCAGCTAAATTAAAAAGTATTTTCTCATGTTAAGCAATGGTAAAAGGTAAGTTTATTAAAGATGAAATTAATCTTTTCAACTGTTACACATTTGTAAGAAAAACAGTACTTTGAATGATTTTTAAAAACTTGAATACTACTACTGACATACATTTACATAAATTATAGTTAGAGCCGGTGTGGTGGCACACATCTGTAATCCCAGCACTCAGGAGGCCGAGGCAGGAGGACTGCCATGAGCTCAAAGCCAACCTAAACTACATAGGGAGAGGGGCTGGGGATTTAGCTCAGC